CTTTATATATTGCACCTGACTACTCCATCAGATCCATTTCAACCACCTTGATCAGGATTATCCATTATCAACACTACAAGAAACTCTTATTAAGATGGTGTTTTCATCAATCTTTCAAACGTTCAAAGAATATCGAACAGTTGGCCATTATCAGCTTTCAGCAATAATTGCCACTAGATTCTCAACTCTGAAGAGTGAGTATACTTGTGGGAAGCCCGTTTGAAAATGGAAACATACTTCAAGATCTCCACCGCTCTTGAAAGAGGTATCATTTCTTTGTGGTGTTCCTTCATCATGTCACTACGGAGCATTTGAGAGCCCGGAAAGTAAAACAAAGCCACCAAAACAACAGCAACAACAATAAAAATTGGCAACGTCTTTATGAGTCAAATTATGGGTAATTCGTTCTTTGAAATGCTTTGACAGGATCTCCTACTGAAAAGCCATCAGGAGGCATCAAGAGGATTTTCACTCTGCGCTTTTCATATCGGATAATGTGACAACAATCAATAAATGCCATTCAGAACATTCAAAGCAAAATGTAGTCGTGATCTCTGAAAGTTAACAGGGAATATTAAACGTGGCAATTAAGCCAGGAGAGGCATTTGAATTCCCTTTTAAGCCTCTGAACTTCAAACTTTTCCTTCTTCCTGGCCTCCGTGCTGTTTGTCACCAGAAATAACCAAAGGAATACAACATTTCCCTTTTTTTAATTAGAGACGTATTATCGTTATTAAAGTGGTTTTATGAGAGACTTGTCACGTCTCCTGGCGTTAGGATCTGTATGATGGCTTTGGAAGCTGTTCATAGGCTACTTCTCGTTTTCAAAGCTAACAAGAGAATTTGCCAATATGCAAAGAGGGTTATCTTCAAAAGCTCCAACAGCTGTAAAAACCTGCTTTTCATTTGCTGATTTATTTGATTGGTTTTTGGGTGAAAAAATGTGGGAATATGAAACCATGCCTGAAGGAGAATCAGCTGAAGCCACCTGCACAACTGTTCTCATGTACTTCCGTTTTCTTGAAATTTATTCTCAAGGCAGCCTCTCTGATCAGATATTTTACAGTGAATGAAATCGCCACATATTTGTAATCTGATCCTAGATTTGTTGGGTTCTCATGAGAAAAGAGGATGCCCTCACAAAGGGGTGGTGAGGAAAATCAAGGAGCGAAGCAACCTAGAATTAAGGATAAATTTCCTGACAGTTAGACCAATTAATCAGTGGAGCAACTTGCCTTCAGAAGTTGAGGGTGCTCCATCACTGGAGATTTTAAGGAGAGATTGGACAACTATTTGTCTGAAATGATGTAAGGTCTCCTGCTTAAGTAGGAGGTTGGACTAGGAGACTTCCAGGGTCCCTTCCAACTGTTACATCTGTTAAAATGGCTGCTGAGAACAGTAGTTATATATCTCAAGAGGATGTCTCTTCAGAGATGGAGAGATTCAGAAATATATATTTCCACTTCATAAATATACACCCATTGCCCAGAATAGGTTCACCAGTAAGCTTTCAATGCAAATATAATATTAATAAGCAGCTTAGGCAATATTTATTGAAGACAAATAATTAAGATCAGTGTGCCTCGGCAGATGAAGCCATTCCTCAAACTAATTTCCAAACAAGTCTCTTAATTTGTTTTCATTATTTAGTGGCTCACTTGCTTTTAAACTTTCCCATCAAAATAAAATATTTGCTAGCCTCACCTAATAAATGGCCTGCTCTCAGGATGTTTATAAATTACTTTAAAAGATTCTGTGACAAGGGGGGATTTAATTCGGTTATACGTTAACAACCAAGTCCTGAATAATTTATATCTCTGCCCTAAGTAGTGTGTTAAATGGGGCAAGAAAAAGAGGCCCAGTTGAGAGAACACATACAGAGACCACGCTTATGATATATCACCCCAAAACAATTCATATTGTTAGCAAATCAAGTGGCTCCCATTTTGAAGATATATTTGTATGTGGGAATCCCCTTGAAGGATGAGGGGAAGAGGTACTGCCTAGGGAATAATCAGATAAAGTTAAAAGCTGACAAATACTTAGCAAGCAAAGAAAACAACTTAAGAAGGATCTGCCCTAACGTATCAGGCTGTTAAAAGTGACAGTAGGAGATTTGTATTTTTAGGCCTGCAAAATTCTGTTTACAGAATTAGCTCATTTGGTCATATTTCCTGTCTGGTTTACCTGGAAGGGCTGACAGAATTTTCCAACTGACCATGTGGCCAAATACTAATAGGAATTGAGGTGTCTGGCTGGAGAATTAGCTAAGATGGTCAAC